GCAAGGTTATGTAGTTCCTTCACCGGGGAAACGAGAACTACTAGTGATTGCCTCTGCTAAGTTCATTACATCGAGGGAACTGCACTGCCACTGCAGTCTCTGCAGCTATTCTCTCAGCTGTACCTACAGTACAAGGTAGGTGACATGTGCTCGAGGTCAGGTAGGCAAACACACAGAGTGACCATATTATTATCCAAATCTGACGCCCACGCTGTCTTCGCCTGACGGTTACAGACTTGGCAACGCCTTCGTAATACCGCATTAAACCCATGCAGTAGAATAGAGTCGTTCTTGTACAGCAATAACTCCAATACATGATTTGGTCGCGACCCTTCCTTGCTGTAGCTTGGTTTGGCGAATTGGCAACCTCTTTCGCATGAAAGAGGTCCGACAGCAAACAAGTCTACTGGTAGATATTGCTGCATTCCTTATGTACAGTAAGACGACACGGACGCATCCGTGTACTGTATTCGTGTTGCGCTCTGATTGGTGATGGTGTGACAATTTTGTACCCCAAAATTCCGGTGATCTTATTCAGCGTCCCACAAGTTCGCACATCGCACCAATCTCCCACACTTCCAAGTTGTTGTTGTTGTCTTCACAGTAAAAACTGTTCCGTTCTCTCCGCCCAGTACCTTTGTCTCCCATACTTGTCTAACACTTGACGGGGTCGATTCCCGTGGTCACAAGCAAACTTACCAAAAAAAAGGTATACGAAAATAAAATGGACCCGAAGTGTCCGCAAGCCAATAAAAGTCAACGACATATAGTCTAGGACACTCCGCTCGCCTCTACACGCTATGCGAGGCAACCCTAGATTGGAAAAAGATAGAAAAAAGAATAAGAGAGCAGATGGAGAGAAGGGAACGCGAAGAAGAAAGACACAGACAGGGAAAGACACACGCTGTAGCGACAGACAACAAACAAACAAACAAACAGAGCAACACAAGACAACACAAAACGACACAACACAAAACGGGCCACCCGGGCCAGCACATGCACTCATCGCTCGCGGGGGTCGGTGCAACGGTGCGGTGTCGGCGGGGGGAGGGGGTGAGTCAAGCAAGGGGTTCAATTCGGCACAGTATTTCGCGTCACTCGGTCCCCCTCTTCGCGTTTCCTGTCTTTCGCCGTCTCGTCCGCCTGCTGTACCCCTCCCGCCCCCGTGGTTGTTGCCGTGACCGTGTTGTTGCCGGGCTTCTTGTTTCGTTTGAGCGCTCGTTGCCGGCTAGGCACATCTTCCTCCTTGTGCCAGGAGGCCATGAACCTCTTAGCTCCCTGCAGTACCCCTGTATGCCACGGTACCCCCCTGTCCACCTTCGCTGCTTCCATCCAGGATGTTTCCGGGACTCCGAAGAAACATAGCTCGGCGTCCGTAGATCCGTGCTCTGCTTCGAACATCTTGAGGCCGTCCTGTAGGCACATCTGCCAGTTTTGCTCCGGTTTCCCCCTGCCTGGGCCCTCCCCCCCCCCCAGCTCGCCAAGCGTCACCCGTTTCGGGAGTCGTCCGTCTGGCCTCCTTGCCAGCGCTCCCGCGAACAGCTGGCGCCGTTGCCGAATCGTGGTTTCCACGCTTTGGCACTCTACCCTCTTCAGTGTCTGGGCGTAGGAAAGCTGCCGGTAGGTGTCCTTCTTGCGTTGGTAACCGATAACTCGCAGGAGCAGTCGGTGGTGTACGGCCGCAACGTCCGGTATTGGTCTTGACGTGGGGCCCATGTCATGCAGCCGTACAGCAGTGCCTCCATCGCTTTGGCCTGGAGCAGGCGAGTCTTGAGTCGGAACGGTGCTTTCGGCCTGTCGAAGAGCTCCTGACCATATCTCCTGACGCATGCCCCCGCTGCTCTGCTCCGGTTTTTTATCTCACGGGTGAGGTCGCCATGTTCGTTGACGAGGCCACCTAGGTACCGGAATTCAGGAGTCTGGGCATACCTCTGCCCTGCTGCCTCAATGATCAGCGGTGGCGGCGGGGGGGGCGGTGGTGTTGTCGTGTACTTCTCCTTTGCGCTCATCAGGAGCGTCTCCGTCTTCTTCTCCGATACCGTCAGCCCGAACTCCCCGAACACCTCCACGATGACAGTCATCATTCTCGCTAGTGCTTCGGCAGACCTCGATACGACGCCGGCGTCATCGGCATACAGCATCCCCCATGCCGCCCTCCGCACTTGGTCAAGTGGTGTCCTCACCCCCGCTCCCGTCTCCTCCTCCAGGTACACGAGGTTCTCCAGAATAACATCATCCTCGCTGAATCGAATGGCGACGACCTCGATGAACGCGGCGAAGAAGATATTGAACAGCAGTGAGGACAGCACACACCCTCGTCGTAGGCCTTGTGTGACCAAGAACCAAGCCGAAAACTCTCCGTCGGCCATGCGCACCCGGGCCCGCACTCCGTCGTGGAATCGGCGGATGACGGCGATCATCTCATCAGGAATGCCGGCCCTGGCCAGGACCTTCCACAGCAGCTCTCGGTCAACCGAATCATACGCCTTCTTCAGGTCGACGGAGCACATGTAGAGTGGTATTTTCCTTCTCCGCCCCAACTCCTGGAGTCGGCGCACGACGGACAGCATGTCGATGGTGGATCGCCCAGGTCGGACCCGGCATCGTTCCTCCGGGAGGATGTTGTTGGTTTCGCAGAAGGCGCTTAGGCGGTTGGTGATGATCTTGACGGGGACCTTGCCAACGTGAAATAGGAGCGAGATCCCCCTGAAGTTGTTGCAGTTGGACCGGTCACCCTTCTTGTACAACACGTTGATGGTTGCGTCCTTCCACTCTTGGGGCATCTCTCCTCCGTTCCACACCTCAACGAGGATTGCACGGAGGTGCTCCAGGACGATGGGTTCTTCGTCGTCATCGTCGATCTTGAGCAATTCTGCAGGGAGGAAGTCATTGCCGGGTGCCTTCCAGTTCTGCAGTCCTTTCGTTGCCCGTTCACTTCCTGGAGGTCTGGCACCGCTCCCAACCGTCGAGTGGCACGTGTCGCCGGTCGCTGCGTCACTTGTTCGATGATGTCTGGGCTCAGGGTGGGGGACTTGGTGTTGAGGAGGGTGCCGAAGAACCTCGCCCATCGCTGTAGGGTGTCGTTCTTTTACTGATCAGCACCACACCGAACAAACTCGCGCGTCAAGCGAGTCCGACCCTCTGTCGGGAGGGTATGGAGGCGGTGCCCATGAACGAGCGAGCGTTGTTGGTGGTTTTGTTGTGGTTATGTATGTGCGGTGCACGGTATATGCGGTACACGGTTTTTTTTGCGAGTTTTATGCTAGAGGGTCGGGCACCGGGATTATATGACCATTTCTGGGTACGAAATCGACCTCATCCGGGTACACCAGTAACCAATATCGGCCACACCAGAGGGTCCCAATTCCAGCGGAAGTTGTTCCCGATGGAGGTTTCTTCAGAAATGAGTACGATGATTTTTCGGCCAATCAGCTGACAGCCTGGGGGTGCAACCGTGTTGATTTCGATAAAGTATCCGGATACCCGTTTCTGGTTATTGGTCTTTGTATTTCGTGGCCACGGGGCCCCTCCGATGGGGGCGACGCAGACGAAATTTCGGCAGGTGAAGCAGCCGCGGTGTATTCATGTCGGCCCCCCACCACAGCCCCAAGTGGAACTCGCAACCCGCCTGGGATTCGGACAGGGTATAAACAACACGACAGTGTTGTGAGGGTACAGAAGACATGTGTGTGTCCGCGTGGAGAGCGATGGACATTTAGCGTTACGCCATTTGCGTCTCATGCGTTCCATACGCACGAAGACAAACCGCACACACACACACACATACAACTGCAAGTAAGGCAAATCAGTATGCGGGAACTTTCAACCCGTCTAGAGCTACCCTCCTCACTGCTGTTTTTTCAACGAACGGTGGTCTTGGCAAAGGCACCAATCGACTGATCGTTGCTATCGCCAACCACTTGGCGCACGAAGCTTTTTGCCGGGGGAATTTTGGCGACGAAAGAGCCTTAGTTCACCTGCAAGCTTTTCATACTAACAGGATTCGGAGAAGGTTTACCTTCGAGCTAGCTCGTTTCCTGTAGATGCGAACTCGCGATGTGCTCAAACGTCATGAGCTACTGATCGACCAACTTCCACCAGGGCCAATCGGTTGGGATATCTGCGACAACGATAGTAATGAGGGTAATTCTTTTAGGAGTGACGGAGACGACGATGGAGGAGGAAAACATGGAGGAGTGGAAGAGAGCAAAGGGTTTGAGCCAGATGACCTTCCCCGAAAAAATAAACGTAGGGCTAGGGAAAAACTGCCCAGAGATTCTTGTCAAAATGAGGATCAGAATGATGGTAGCGAAAACAAGAAGGATAATGATGAAAGTACTCCTAAACGAAGTAGAGTACAAGGTAATAGCCTTGGTAGACGCGTCCAGTTTTCTTCTGTTGCTGCTGTTTCTGTCTTTGATCCGAAGGATAGTTTAGCCTCCCCCATGCTGACCCCTCACGGGGTCCCAGTTCATGGCAGATAAAAGTGTTTTGTGTTTTCAACCGCACTAAAACTGACGAATTTTCATTGGTCAGCCGGTTAGCGCGGTCGATGTTAAAAAAATAAAAACACATACATACACACGGGAGGTGGACTCACCGACGTCCCTTGTTGCGATGCTTTCCTCGACAACTACAGCGCAGAGGGTGCGCATCCAGCAAGCAAGCAACAACAGAAAAGCCAACAAATTGAGCATCGCGCGCACAACGGAGACCACAGCGAAGAGGTGCGGCCGTCGTGCGACCAACAAAAGGTTCTAACCCGGCACACAACTACTCCTTGCGTCGAGGCTCGGGTTTTCGAGCGCTTCATGTTCCAGAGCGAGGGGGACCACAGCGCAGCAGCTCAGAACGTTCAACCGCGGACGATGTCCCCAAAAGTCCATCTAGTGTTCAGCGATCATGTTCAATCGGCGCCAAAAGAAAGCAAGTTCAACAACAGAGCACGCCCCATGTCCATTTCCCATGGCGACTCCTCCGTTGACTTCTCAGATGACTCGTCACCCGACGCGCTAAAACGGGGAGCCGAGATACAATGGTGGCGAGAGCTCAACATTGGGAGCTCAACATCGGTTCGTACTTCAGGGAGACATACCTTTTGTGACTTTGTGTTGCGGCGAGCGCTCGGATCCGCGACACGTTGACACGCTCTCGGCTTCCCCCCCTGGCAGCACTTGACCCATACGGAGCTCCATCGCATGCGGGAGGTCTTCTCCTGCTTTTTCGTAAAAAGAGGGCGGGGGCGGCGGCAACACATTCAAATGTCAGCAACCGTCGGATGTCCAACATGAGAGGGTGCGCATGTCGATAATCATACGGCGATTACGGTGGACGAGACGAAAAGCCGAACCAACAGGCACTTTCCCACACACCAACATATGGAAACACGCAACGTTACCTTCGTTTTGCTCTCTCTCTTCAGGCTGAAGCCGCGTCCGGTCTTCGCCATCAACATCGCCACTGCGTCGTCCATTGTTTTCTCCCCAAAGTTGCCGGTCCCGTCTTCGAGGTTGGGAAACTCTAGGTTCTTAATCTCTTCTTCAAGGGTCGCGATCTCCACTGTGCAAGCGAGTCAAACCCAGGTGCGCGAGGGTGGAAACATCGGAGCACACGGATGAGTAACGTACCAACAAAACAACCTACCAACGTACAACAACACAGTGAATAACCTGCCATACCCATACGTTTATAGCCTGCCATACCTGGAGATGGGTCCCCGAGGCCTGCACCACCTGCAGGCGAGGGCTCATCATCGCTATCTTCGCCTTGGCCGGCGTCGAAAGGAAGCCTAGCAACTTCCTCCTCCTTACCAACATCGAGCGTCTCGTCCTCGCTCCAAGCCAGCACCTCCCCCAGCTGCCAAGAGCTTGCCTTAGCAGCGGAATCAACCTCCATCTGGTGTGAGCGGCTGAAGGGAACGCTACTATCGCGTCGGCCGCCAGCCGTTGTTGTAGGCGCGCGTGTGCACCTGCCGCGTTCAAATGAGGCGTTGTTAGGTGTGGTTCTGGGAGGCGTTTTCCACCTGGAGAACCTTTTTACCTCGCCAGCGCTGGGGCATGTACGAGCCGCGCATGCTTCTACGGCCCAGGGGCGCGGCGGCTAAGATATGAAGCGTACGGAGGCTCCGTTGATGAAGACGGATGACAGTCCCCCGCGCACAAAGTGAATGGCATCATCATCGATCATCATCACCATCCATGTCATGCCGCACCGCATGCAGTCACTCTGCCATCAACAAATGCTAGCACACGCCTCTGTGGAGCTGCCCGTAGTGTGATGAATGGTGCCTAAGAGGACGTGAAGTGTCGTCACCTAGGCTGCAAATGTATCGCAATGCGCCAATGGTTCAATCTCATGTGCATACAGCAGAGGATCTTCCTGGCGGTTTTGCCTTTCACGGCCCACAGACCTGCTTATTACAATCCTGGAAGCGTCGACATCCTGACAGGGTTCCTGCCCGGTTGTTTTGTTCTCCAACTCCCAGGAACAGCGAACTGGGCTTCACGGCAGTGAAAGAGTTTCCCGTGAGAATATTCAACAACCTTCCGAACTTGGATCGACTGTAAGTACTCTGGAACCTCGTAGCTGGACAATGCGTGCGCCGGTCCACCAAACCTTGATTGACATCAAGGAGACAACAGAACCGAAAGATCTTCATGTGTTCCACACCAATCATTCCTTGGTCAGAGCCATTGACCCCCCATATTTTGTCGTGGTATCCTTTAAAACACGACTAGGGTAGTCTCACAGCTGCACTTTTTCCGAAGAGGTCAATACTATTACCAACTTCCATCTCTCTGTTCAATACCTCTAACTCCGGTATCGCGTGTCTCTCACGTTGACCACTGGTTAACCCCATTCGGTCGAAATTGGCCTCATAATATTGTCTACATGTAGTGTAACCGATAATTCTCAGAGTACATGTCCTCTAGCCTCGAATGAAACGAGTGAAACGTTTTTCTCCCGCTGTTTGAGGGTGCACGACGTAAGGGAAAATGGCATACTCCCGCCAAACTGAGAGGTAGAAATGAAAACCAACGGTAGAATGGTATGCACATTTCTCGGGTCTGCATTCCTCACTTGGGTTAGAAGAGCATCGCCAGACCCTCCAGACGGAGGTACCAAAGTAGGTGTGAATTTCCTGGTGCACTTCTGCTATTCAAAGTGTTTTACTTTTTCGCCCTTGCCTGCCGTAGTGGGGTTTCATATTGCTCTGCAGGAAACCAAACCAGCGTGCCCCTTGTGGGAGGGATCACTCGCGTTGTTGCCGCTGTGTGTTGTGTGTGTATCTGTGCCTCATGTCACTTCGCCAATTCCTCGGAACGCTGGGCAGCCCGGTGGCACAGACCATCCCAGACGGACTCTTCGATGGCCTTTCCGGTTCGCTGCAATATGTGTAAGTTTTACCGACAAACACGGCTCGTCAACAGAGCCCAACTTTCTTCAACTACATGGCAGTTATGCCTCTGTCGGAGGCAGGCGTCGTTGGTGAAACTCCGCGCAAAATTCGTTTCTGTGCAGCATTCCGGACACAGCTATCCTCAATCTACGAGGGGGCTCGAAACTGAACGAGCTCGACGTATGCTGCAGTTCATCATATTCGGCTCGGAACCGAGGCAACAAACGGCCCCTTTTTTCATTGCAATAAAACGTAATTGCGGTAAACTGAACTCCACCGCCTAGACGCAGCAACGTCGACGAATCCACTTGGATCTCTCCCGAGATGGCCTCAACGAATCATCTAGACACACGGACACACGGCATGTGCTTTGGATTTCGAGTCTACGAGAGACCGCACGAGCAAACGTAGAAAGTCACGGGGTGTGATTGGTGACTTCCCTGATATGCGATAGAGGTGATTATCGTGCAGTACACCACAACCCTGTGACCCCACCACAGGAACTGACTAGCCACTAGATAAAATAAAGACAGGTGAGTGCCTTCGACATCTTATCGAAACGTTTTTCGTTAATTCCGCGGGAGGATGAACGTCCATTTATCGTCAACAACATCAACCATTCAGTGCTGCTACCCCTTTAGGTTCGTCATTAACTTCTGGGAGCTGACGTCGGTTCCTGTCGACCTGTTTAGGAACCTCTCCGATCTGAAGATATTGTGAGTACTTGCGAGCATAGCTGTTTGCTTGTACTGCCTTAGAGGCACGAAAATGAGCCCGTCGACGCCGTTTCATGAGGCCGATAGATAAGAAAGTTGCTCAAAGGCGCCTTTCAAGATGGGTTGATCCTTGGCCATCACAAGGGGGTCGATGGGTGACAGCTACAGTTTTCTATTGAACTTCCTTTGTTCTGGCGACGAATGGTTTGTACTCCGCGACGGCTTACACGTAGTTCACACACGAACGTGGGCGTCCACGTCGTCTTGACAGATAGAGCTACAGGCTCCCTTTTGTCGCCGTGCTGGTCAGCATGTAGTTTCGTTGCCCTTGTACGGCAAAAGGGGGGAATTGTTGGGCGAAGCCGTGTGTCTTGGACACGATTGATTTTCTTTGCTGTATTGAACGAACCATCTATGAATGCGTGCAGTAGACCCGGCTTCGGGAATACATCTGATCTCGGGTGCAGGCCTCGAAACTGTTGATAGGGTTTCCCTCCATGGCGTACGTGGAGCTACCTTTTGATCGGGTCCAGGAAAACCTCCAACTGTGCGAGGAGCTTGCAGGGGATCAGAAGAGTTTGGGCCACCCACAAAGAAAAACAAAATACGGCATACTGTCGTTCAAAACTGCGTCGTCCTAAGGCTTAGACTATGCAGTATCCTGTTTTCGGTCAAGTTCCTGTTATCGGCCTAATACGTAACTGCTTACCTCGACTTGTCTGTGACACTGCAATTAGTGTCGTTGTCCTCGGACAGGGCGTTGGCC